ATACATATATATATGCCTTGCAAGGCTGTGGTGGGGATTACCAATACTGTAAAGACTTTGGCACATCCCTTGCATCCACAGTTGGTGGTTTCAGTTGTGATATCCCTTCTCAGAGCAATGCTATTCAAAGTATGGTCTGCAGGCTGGCTGGGCTGTCAATCTGTGAATTGTTCGTTGTTATTTTGTAATGAAATCAAGCTTGCACCAGAATATAAATCCGCTATATCACTAAGGATACTGTTTAGTTCAGCTGACATTTATTTTCAGAGCAAGGCTTCCTTGATGACTGAAGCAGGGCAGTGATGTACATTTTAGTGCAAGTTCCTTATGTCGTTGGGGTGTGGCCCTTCAAGTAGCATACATTAGAGCCACACACAGAAAATAAACAGCACTGGAAGCAGAAACAAGAAGTGAGAGCATTGGACTAGGAGTCATTGGCTAGCATGTACACTTAAATAAATCATGTAGCCTCTCCAGATGAGTCGCCTTATCTTAAAAATATGAATTGCTTTGAGGCCCAGAATAAATATATATATGAAAGCACTTTGAAATGCTAACTTTAGTTGTTGTTCTAATTGACTTTTAGTTCAATCATTAGAAGTCTTAGAAGTCTGATATAATGGATTAGTAGTTAGCTGTCCCAATTCTCATTCTATCTAAGCAAATTACTTAACCTTTTTGAATCACAAATTCTCAGAATGCAAACTTGAGCTAATCATATCTACCTATATAGCTAATGTCAGATTAACTGAGATAATGTCTGTAAAATAACATTAAGAATAAATTGAGAAACATAATTTAAGTGTTAGTTTTTTCACTAATATTCCAGGAAAGGCAGGGTAGTGGAGAATGAAGACAGAAAATACATAACATGCTTGCCACCATGTCCTACTCTCTCTGTGACAGCTCATGCATCATGGCTTCTTGCCCCCTACCAAATCAGGACATGGCCTCAGAACCTCTCTCTTACACTTTTCTAGGCAAACACTACTACTTGATCAAAGTTGGTACTTGGGCTGGAGCATGGTGCTGTGGGAACAACAGGGACTCTGAGTCTGAGTTGACCTGGGTTCAGACCTTGATGGAGGGAAGTTATCTTGCTGAGCTTAAGTTTTCTCACCTATAACATAAGAACTGTAAAATTGATCTCATTGGGCTGTACGGTGGATTCAATTAAATCACATATGCAAAGGGCATATAATACATGGTAGATGATCAGTAAACCTTAGCTTGTTGCATTTTAATTTTCATCCATCTCTCAAAAATGTTAAGCCTTATTAGGTGGCATCACTGATTTGACTCTGTCAAGTTAAGGATGACTCATTGATAAAATTTTTCGGAGTTCAATGCCCAAACAACCCACAGAATTGAGGATAAAACTGGTCATAATTCATCATAGTGCTTATGTCATAAAATTCCACTGGGAATCTTTAAAAGAAAATCCTAACACTGAATGACTGCAAATGTCCTCTTATTTGCTTATTTTTTAGGGTGAACGTGGAGAATGTGGTAAACCAGGGATAAAAGGTGACAAAGTAAGAAACATGTTTTTAAAATGCTAACAGCTGTAATCCTTTGGGGCTGAATTTCCTTAAGAGAAAATTCCTGGGATGCATTATACTGATCTCACTACTGGACTTGGAGAGTCATTGGCTCAATTTTCATGTCAGTTAAACATGAAGCAGAAAATAAAGCCACACTTACATAACTTGAGTTAATAGCGTCCCTAAATGCCTTTCTTATGGACCATGAAGACTTTGCTTTGTGGGACCCTAAACTTTGAATGTTATGGTGAAAAGACTAATTTAACCAGCAAAGTCAAATCAAGTTCGAATTGGGTCAAAGTAGAATTGTTTTCCAGATGTAAACACTGAGAATAAGCACTTTGCAAAACCGAGTGAAGAACTCTGTGAAATAAGTTAATGAAATAGTTATACAGTGGCCAAACTAGACATAGAAAGGGGTTTCAAATTTTGAAAGTGCAGCAAGCCATGGACAGTTGGGTAGGTATTTACTTTTCATTAAAAGATAAATGTGAATAAGTATTTAAACTGGAGATAATATTAAATATGTTAAGGAGTTCCTTAACAGACCAGAAATACATAGACAGTAACTTTGAAGCATAATAATAAAGGTCAAAAAAGTACACTGTAAAAGTTAATAGTTTTCATTATAATTAAGAACTATTAACAGCATGCCACTAAGATACCAAACTCTTTCAATACCTATTTTTAATTATGGGAGAGAATCAAGGGGAGGAAATGAGGCAGGAGGTGAAAAGAAGAGGATAAGATAATGACAGTGGCCCATGTAACTAAACACTTTAAATAGCTTGAGATTCTCTGAAAGCTTTTAAACTAGTGTACAGTTAAAGGTCAGGTGGATCTGAAAAACGTAGGCTTGGTAATTATCTCAGGGAAAAGAAAAGTGAGGTAATAATTCTTCCTGGAGGATAATTGAAAATGGGAGATGGACTTGGACTTGAAAATACAGAAGAAGGGGCAAAGTAGAATAGAACAAAAATGAAAGTCAAACAATAACTGGGAAAACTATTTGAAATAAAAATTGGTTGATAAACAGTTAATATATTTCATTGACTAAGATGCCAAGGATTGTTAAATGCCCTATTATGTTCTGTGCCAAAAAGAAAGAAAAAACTGTGCCAATTATAAAGATGCAGTTGATTGTCAGCGATCCATCCCAAAGTCAGAGATGTAAAAATCTGAAAAATGCATGTTTAGAGTCAATGAAATATAGTGTCCTTGACATGGAGAGTTCATGCAAGTTCATAAGTACAACATACAAAGACCATAAAGACACAAAATAGGAAATATAAATGACTAATGAAAAACTATCCAAATACATTAGCAATCAGATAAGTGAAATTAAAACATTAAAATATTATTTCATCAAATTAGAAAACATTGAAATAATATATAATACTCAGTGTTAAGGGCGATTCTATAAGATGAAGATGTGCTCTCTCTACTTAGGAAGTGAGAATGGAAATCTGAACAAACTTCATGGAAGAAAGTGTCTTTCCATACATGGTGTGAGAGACAAAAGAGAATGAGAGAGAATCTTAAATGTGCTTATTGTCTGTCTCGGCATCAGTCATTCTCTTCTAGGAAATTATCCTTAGGAATGAATCAGAAGTCAGACAAACATTTATACACAAAGATGTTCATTATAATATTATTTAAAGCGGTAATCATCAGAAACATTTTAAATGTCTAAACTAGGACATTTACTTACTCATCTGAGTAAGTAAATCATGATAGATTCATATTCTTGAATATTATTCAGTTTACTGAGTCATCAATGACATGAAAAAATATTTTTGATACAACGGAAGACCAAATAGGTAGGACACAAAATTGTGCAAACACTTTGATCAAATTATTTGAAGAAAAATCTAATGGAAATAAAATTGGATGAAAATATGCCAACAGCAGTTGCCTCTGTGTGAAGGGACACATATAGAATAGAATAAAAGCAGGGGGGAAAAAGTAGAAATCTGAGAAAAGAGAGTCTAGATTATCTTATACTCTCATAAAAATAAACTTTAAAGCATTTCCTAGTCATGGAACATACTGAAATATTGTCTATCAGAAGAGTGTTGAGTATAAACAGCATTTTGCCAACTCCCATGCCTTCAAGATGGGCGAAAGAGTGATTTAGACATTTGGGGAAACTTACTAAATTGTTAATTTAACTGATATTACCTTGTTGGAAGAAAGCAGTATTCCACCAAGTTTACTGCTTTCGAAATCCTGTACTCTAATCAAAATGTCAATATGTAGGCCAAAAACCTACTTGAAAAATTGTGTTTTCATGGAGTTTAAAGGAAAGTTCGACCCCCAGGTGGGCTTGTTTATTAGAATCATTTCATTAACAATGAATCTGGTGGTGTCGGTATTTGGATAACCTGGGAAGACTGGCCATTACTGAGAACACATTCCCTCCTCTTTCACCTAAAATCATGGCACTTTGAAGATGAATATTTCTAGTGACTTACCATTAATTGTATTCCACAGGGATCCCCAGGACCATATGGACCAAAGGGACCCAGGGGACTTCAGGTAAGGAGGCTAAAACCAAATCTAAGTCTGGGTTAGAATCACCTAGGGAGCTTTAAAAAACCCCTTTGCCCACTTGCCGAGTACCTAGAAACTCCAACTTTCAGTTACATATACCTTAGATATATAGATATAGATATAGATATAGATATATAGATATTAAAGCTGTTTATTTGAAATCTTTCAAAAAAGGGGTATAGTATAGGAATACAGTTGGAAACATAGATTTAGAAAACAAATACCTCATTAATAAATATTTGCTCTCAGCTTGAGTACTATTTTAGAAGCTACGCGTTTGACACAAAGAATTTTATCTCATTCCATTTCTCAATCCCATGTTACCACTACTAAACTGAGTTATATAGTCTGACTTCTAACTCCAGGATCTCTAGGGACCCTAATGAATGATTCATTCCTGGTGGGCCTTTCGTGCACGGAACTAATTCTTGGTTTTCTTCTTGGAGCAGGGCATTAGTGGACCTTCAGGTGATCCAGGCCCGAAGGGATTTCAAGGCAATAAGGTAATCACATCCTTGGGTTAAAGACAGGCAGAGAGCCTTTCCCCTGGTGACCTTTGGTAATGTGTGTTTTTATAGGCAGAAGTCAATGGACTCTTTGTGGAAGTATCTTTGCAAATATATAGTAACCTGCAGGTGTATACATAGAATCATGTTCAAGCACATGCAGGGAGTCAGTGGCACAGCTTTATCATTTACTATTATATTATTCAAAGGGGCATTATTAAATATAAGACATTATCAGAACCTTGGCAGTGTTTTCTTCTTACTTCTGCCCTTTAGTCATTATATGGTTCACTAGAAACTGATAACTAGTAACAGGTAGCTCAATTCAAATGACTGTTTCCTACAATAATGCCAACTCAATACACATCTTATAAGGGAAGAGAATTTATAACTGTTCTGCCAACAGAAATCAAGCTTTTAAAAAAACAAAAACTAACAAACAAAAAAAAACGGGCAAAACCTCAATCATCAGTACCATGCTTGTAATGTCATTCCACAGATAACCAGGCAAGATAGATAGAGAAGGGCTGAGTAAGAGCCAAACAGAACCCAGTGATGCTACAAGAGGGACCTTTAGAAGATCTTTTTTAAAGGTTTTGTTTTCCAATGAGAGTGGCTATTAATTTGCTGAAAACAAGCCTTTTAGTTCCTTTTTTAATTCTTCTCAATGCTTAGTAAATTTCACAGATATAGTAAATACCCAGTAAATGGAGCTGAGTTAGTGACTGAAGGAGTTCTGTGGGATTTATGGCAGTAATAACAGCAAAAGGTGCTGCCCCCAATGGACCTTAGATAAAGCCTATATTTTTAATGTGCTATTAAATTTAAGTCGTGGGGAGCAGTTGGGCTACTTGAGTGTTCTTTTACCAGAGGAAAGGGAGTGACAAGCATAGTGTTTTTAATGAGATACTGACTATGTGTGATTTCCCAGGCCACTTTTAATTGGCAAATTAAAACAGAATGAGCTTCTCAGCGGGAGTGTGCTTAAACTTCATCTGGGAAACTGTCTTTTCCAGTCCTTGCCTGTGATTAATTCTCTCTGGGGGGAAGAAACGGCTCTTTTGAATACTGAGTAGAAGGTTTTCTAGAATTGCTTGGGCTGTAGGTAAAATCCTGCAGCAAGGAAAAAAGAAATATTTTGACAATCCAGGCTTGTTTCTAAGGAGTCTCTGTTTACCTAAGATGATAATTTTCACATGTTTGTGAAAAAGAGGCTTAAAATCGGGGATCAGGGTTAGAGTTGTTGGAGACACAAGGGATGTTAGAAATCATACTAACCCAAAGGTTTCATTTCGGAAAATGAGAAATGAAATCTGGAGATCCAATGGCTTGCCTGAGGCCGAGGCCGAGCCAGCGTCATCAGTTCTGAGGGTGTGTGAGGAAGTGCTGGGCTGGGAGCAGGGCTGGTGGCTTTGGGAGATGGTTGGTGACATTCCATAAAAAGACGCCATCACTTGATCACTTCTCTTCATGTCTTACACAATTACTCCTTAGGTTTTCCCTTTTAAATACATTTATGTCAACAAAATTTAGCTTTTTTTTTTTTAATTGGGGAATTGGGGGAATGGGAACAGTGCTGGGGAATTGGGGGAAGGGAACAGACAAGTTGCTGTGGTTTTGTTCTTCAGTCTACTTGTGGAGGACGCTGCTTCACTGGCCCAAGTTGGCACCATCATTGTGCTCTTCCCAGGCGAGGCACATCAGTCGCCGGCCTCTGGACGGCTGCTCACTGCGGCTGCTGGCCGCTCACGCTGGCTGCTGGCTACATGTGGTAGCCCATGGCAATCCACTGCCACAGGGGCTGCAGCCCAGCCGTCGCCGGCAACTCACAGCAGCCCAGCTCCAGGTTGAGCCGCTGCCCAGCATCTCAGCCATAGAGGGCAGTGTCACTGGCCCTCATATGTGGGATCCGAACCGGGGCCCTCTGGCATCCCAAACCAGCTCTTAACCATCGCGCCACTCGGCCGGCCCAACAAAATTTAGCTTTTAATTCCAGCAATGCATTAGTTCTTAGAAAGGATAAATAATGAGTCGAGTGCTTTGGGGAGGTTGCACTTTTCTGACATAAGAGCACATCACGCTTGACTTTTACAATGTCATAAAAGGAGCCATTGTTCCGAAAGTGTTTGAGGGCTTCCTCAACTTTCCAAGGGCCTCTCAAATTTGTTTTTTTTTTTAATAAATTGTGGTAAAAGATACATAGCATAAAATTACCATGTCTATGTGAATCACAAAATTCACTGCCAGGTGAACACACAAAGTCTGCCAATCAAAATGAGTCAATCAATCAAGAGTGAGCCTCTCCTTTTCCTTCTCGTTATAGTTCTGGTGAAAGTCACCAATTTAGTGGTCTCTTGACTCCTACTTCGAGACAATTATTAATTTCTACTTCTCTTTGGACCTGTCAGCCAGTGGTGCATGTAACACTGATCATTAATTTTTTTAATTTTATGCATTAATTAGTGTATTATCTAAAAAGTCAAGTTTTAGGGAATGATTTCATTTTGCATCCCAGAATGCACTTACAAATCTTAAAGACTTAATAAACTGTATTTTCCTCAATCTGGAAAAAATGTCATGTTTTATAGTGACATTTACTTTCATCCATTATCATTTTATTACAAAATGTTTTTAAGGAATTGCTATTGCAATTTGTATGAAAACAAGCTAAAATCCAGTAATTCTGTATTTTCTAATGGGCACAGGGAGGATTATTTATTTGAAAACATCTATAATAACAGATAACATTTACTTCTTACATATTTACTATGTACAGATACAGTTCTAAATACTCCTTTAACACAATACCACTTTTTGAGGTACAGATTAGGCTACTGAGGCACAGAGAGTTTAAGCAATGGGTCCAGGTCTACACAGCTAGCTAGTAAGGGACAGAGGTAGGATTCAAACCCAGCTGCTCTGCTCTTAACTACCATGTTATATTCATCTCCTAAGGAAATTTGTTCAATTTCCTGGATAGTCAACCTGAGATAAATGCACTTCTTTTGGGCAGTATGGGAATTGCATCTGTCTCGATTTCTAGTGTCCTCTGTCAGGAATCAACAGCTTGTTGAGAGGTGCATTTTTACTTGGTTATAATGTTCATCTGGAAATGCAGGAAGAGAAGGAAAGGAATCACATGGGGAGGAAGAAACCAGTAATGTGTAAATTTTTTACAAGACCTTAAAATAGAAACCTTTAGACTGTAACATTTGTGAAGATTCCTTGAGAACTTCTAGATGGGGCCTGCCTCTGTCTTGAAATGGATGAATGGTCTACCTCTCTCATGAACTACAATCCAGTTTTGTTGCTCTAGTGGTTGGATTTTCTTCATCAAAGGGCTAGCAGTAAAGGTGGCCAAAGAACAAAAGGGAAAAAATATCATGTGATAAATGAAGGAAAAATGTCATTCTGGCTCTGTTTCACAAATCCTTTCTGTCATTAATATTTTCCACATGGAAAGTAGCTCCTATTTTGCTCTGAACGCGTTGTTGCCTTAGAAACAAAACATAGATGTTGCTCACAATGAAGCCTTGGCCCTCAGGGCACCTCAGCCTCTCCCATATGTGAGAGCCATGCAGCGGCCTTCATAAGGACATCCCATCAGTCTCTCAACCCATTAGAATTATATCATGAAAGTGCCCAAGAAGCCTTATCTCTAGGACTGAACTGAAACTCAGGCGAGAGCACTGTGCTCTTTCTCAGTAAAAACTGAGTGTCTAAGAACCCTACTCCAACCTCCAAGGGCTGCAATAGTGGTTCAGGTTGCAACCACATCTGGCCATAGGACGGGCCCTCAAATCACTAGAAAGAATGGCTCAAGACTGGCAGGACTTTCAAATCACAGAGCAAAAAAGGATCAAAATTAGCTTTGAACAAATAAACACTGAACGCTGGGTGTGCAAGCCCACATTAGGTAATTTTTTTCCACTTCTTGATTATTTTTCTGAGGTTATTTTTGAAGGGTATTTCCTTCTCAAATCTCATGCAAGTCTGCTCTTTCCAAGACCCTCTTTGTGCTCCTGGAAGGAGGGACTGACTGCTCATTGTGGCCTGACCAGGAAACAACCCATGACACACTGAAGTATTCTAGTGCTAGAGCTTAAGAGCTAGGGCCAAAGGGCCCTAGGAAACAGCTGCGTTTTCCGAAGGCAGAGTACCACATGCTAATCCCCAAACAATTCAAAATACCATGATGTTGTATTACATATTAATTTATTTTAATAGATGAATTGCTTCCCTTCTTCTCACCTCCTCTATTATTTTACTCCAGCACATTCATGTATTTCCTGCAGGTTTCCTGCCCCATGCCAAGTGTTTTCTTCTTGTGCTGCACTCAGGTGTATGAAACTCAAAGTCCTTTTACATATGAGACTTGGTCTTACCTTACATTCAGTTTAGCTGCTGAGTAGTTAAGACAATCCACAGAGAAATGTCTCCAATCTGGTCCAGTTTAATTAATTGGATATGGTCAGGATAAATAATCTCCGGTGAATCAAACATCCATCATCCCTTGAAAACGAACAAAGGACCTAGTGTTAATGATAAAACAGAACCCATGTTTCAAGAGGAGTAGTGAGGGCAAATTAGGTGCTGAGACCGTGCCGAAGCTCTATACCACACGTTGATTCTTAGACAGCCTACTGCTCCTTATCCAACTCCATCCAGCTTCCATTTTCTTCCATCTATATTTGAGGTTCCCAAGCACATTAGATATTTTTCAAGTGGCTGGTATTCTTATGAAGAAGTTAAGTAAGAGCTAAATACACAGATCCTAACATTGGAACTGTAAGCCTAGAAAACATCCCTATACGACATCCTGTTTCCTTCAAAATGCTCTATGAAAAGAGTTCAGCTTTCAAGACAGGGCTGGCTGTCAACCTTTGACATAGCTACTAGGAATGCATATGCAGATAATTTTGGTAGCTGGCAGCATGCTAAGAAAGTTTCCTTTTAGCTTCTGTATGTTATGCCTTTAAACATTGCTAGGCTTCTTT